CTGTCTCTCTCTCTCTCTCTCTGTCTGTCTGTCTGTCTCTCTCTCTCTCTGTCTGTCTCTCTGTCTGTCTGGCTGTCTCTCTCTCTCCCTCCTCTGACCAGGATACAGCCTCTCGTACTCTGAGCAGCCTCACACTTATCATCAGAGCAGGTTTATGATGCTCATTTATCCGGCCTCATTGCTCTTCATAGACGTCGTCGTCTGTCACTGGAGATCAATACAGATAAGACATCTCTCTCTCTCTCTCTCTCTCTCTCTCTCTCTCTCTCTCTCTCTCTCTCTCTCTCTCTCTCTCTCTCTCTCTCTCTCTCTCTGGAGGGCCTCCTGTTGTCCCCCCCCCCCGCCGCAGTGCGATCAGTAATAGGTATGTTAGCACGGGGAGATGGCCTAGAGCCTGACACCTGTGTGTGTGTGTGGTGTGTGTGTTCAGATGAGGTCATTTCTAAATATGATATAAAAATGTATTATATACCAGTCACTATTTTCACTTTATTTAACGGAATTTCATTCATTTTCGACAAACGTCTTCTGTGGCTCTGAAGGAGCTCCTTCTGCTCTCAAAGTGGGACATTTTGTAATGTTTTCAGTCATTCCAAAGTATTTGCTATTGTCAGAGGGTAAGCTTGCATATATATGGGTCCACACATGTTTTGCATTGACCTTGGTGAAGCTTATGGCTGGAGAAGACTCTCATAAGGATTAACACAAAAAATGGTCTCTAATTTACAACTCGTATATCAGCATTTGTAAATGAATACTATGGTTTTTGCTAATCTCAATTTCAGGTGTATCATTTGTTTTATCGCGTCTTTGTGTATCACACTAAATTCATAAGAAAGACATGTTGACTGCAGGGACTGGGATTTGAACCAACAACCAACCCATTGTTAATGAATTCATTATTTGTAAACTATTATAAGAGAGTTGTTAATCTGGCCTTCATGTTGACGAATGGCAGTCTGACAGGACTTTGAGGAATCGGAGCCGAGAGGAAGCTATCATCCTCCTCTTCCTCCATCAAAAGACCACTGGTCTGCAGAGAGTTCTAGAATAAACTGTGTGTAATTATAGTTCCGTTACTGATGGAGATAGATATTATCAAATTTAGGATGAATCAGTTTTGCCCCATGCTTAGTGAAACAAATGGTTTCATCCTGTTGGTGAAAGTGTGTGTTTGTGTGACTGTGTGTGACTGTGTGTGTGTGTGTGTGTGTGTGTGTGTGTGTGTGTGTGTGTGTGTGTGTGTGTGTGTGTGTGTGTGTGTGTGGAAATGCACAGAAGGACGCACAGGACGTACACATGAAGTGCTTTGAGTATTTCCCTCATGTACACATCATACAGTTTATATGAAGATCTGCAACCAGCTGATACAGAATATCCAAGCATGTAACACGGTGTGGAATGGGGGGATTTTTATAACTATAATGCTTTTTTTTCCTATAGCATTAATGAGTCATTCATAATTGAAAATAATCATATTTAACTACTGCTTCGTGTGTGGGTGCAGTTTCATTCAAATGTTACTAAATCCTGATAGGTGCATTTACAAACGAGAAAATGACAGACCCCTGAACACTTCCAGTGAGAAGGCGATACCTGCAATATTAAATGTTAGGATCACTCAGATCTAGTCTGTTGTTCCATCCAGGGAATATCCAACTGTAATAACTCTTATTCCTAGTGGAATCCTTCAGCTGATGGAATGCAACTCTGAGAATAAGGCATACCTTCTTTATAAACTGAGTAAATATTAAGAGTCACAAATGCACAAGTAAACCTCAAATGATGATGTTATCCCCATCATATTGAGATAATTCAATTAAACAATTGTACATAATATTCGTCCTACTAACACATTTGTTTCAGATTTGTGGTTCTGGAAAACTGAAGATAAACATGTTATGAATGTCAGAACTCATTAGGATTTAGAACACTATTTTGCCAATATGACCTCTCACTGCTGAGCCTCTGAGTACCAACCAAAAGGGACCACTTTGCTGAGGGATCCTGACCCAAAGAGTGGGCCGCTCCAAAGGATCAGTATCAGTTTAGGTCTTTACAAATCCACTGGGGGTTTGTAGACAAAATGAGTCCTGTCTCAAAGCCCCCCCCCCCCCCCCCCCCCCCCCCCCCAGTAAAAACACACACAAACATGCACACCTGCCTGCGCTCCGATAAGACGTCAACAACCGCCGCGCCAAATGTGTTTGCACACCAGCGTCGGTTGACTGCACTTCCTCATTGAACGAATTGAACAATTTATTCTGACGCGCCACAGAATCCGAGGGGGAATTTAGATTGAGATTTAAAAAAAAGAAAATCAGCACAAGTCTGAAAGCCTTAAGGGGGGGGGGGGGGGTTGGGGTGACAGGTAAACCTGAGACAGTGACATGTGGGGGGGGGGGTATGGGGGCCTGTCACTCAACATTACAGTGTCACTACAAGCTGGACCATAATTAACACGGCTAATGAACACAGCCTGCTGCAGTACACACTCACACAATGCACTGTGGGGGAATTCCATTAGCCCTGCTACTGCACTGATATCAAACAAAGTGTGGGGGGGGACTGGCACCAGCTGTATGGAAAATTAAGTAGAAAAAGGATTTGATAAAACATATCCTAAACATGATAAACACACAGATCTGAAATGGGTGTGTAAACTATAAGATTTGTATTCTCACACTAACTACACACTATATCAGCCTGCCTGTCAGTCTTCAACCGTCCAATGTAGCTGCCATTGACAGTTAGAAGAATTGCTAAATAAGTTGAAATTACTGCAACTAAGGAACACTTTTAAGAAAAAGAAACATGTTGACCAGCAGCCGGATACGAGGAGCCCTGCTGGAGACCCATCAACAGAAAAAAACGGAGCACCACATTGAGATGTTTTATGCTTATTAACCTCTTCCTGTTTAATCCTACATTTGAACATTGATTAATGATTAAATCAGCTTTATCCTTGAGTGAAACAAACCTTCATCTACCCACAATGTGTCCATTCAAATGTTATCCAAAAACAAATCCCAAATTGGGATCAATAAAGTATTTCTAATCGAATCTGTCCTCCACATGATTATGATAATTGATATGCTATGATTATGATTTTCAGTCAAAAGTATTTCGGGGCGACCTTGGCTCAGGAGGTAGAGGGTCGTCCATCGATCATTCGTAAGAGATACTAAACCCTAAATTGCTCCCAATAGATTGTCATTGTTAGTGTTTTTGAGCAAGTGCACCTGTATGGCAGCTTCTGTCTCTGTTTAAATGTGTGAATGTTGACTTTGAGGGGTTCGTCGGAAAATCTATATATATTTGCAGTTTACCATATTTGCAGTTTGTGTTTGGTTGTGACCACTCTTCGCCTTAGACTACACATCTATATTTGTTTCTGTGTCTAGCACTCTGTACACTGACCCTTACCCTTAAGACGATATGATACATATTATTGTCCTCGTGAGGAAATCTGCTTTTGACTCTGTCCAGCAGTTCCACAACTGATCAAAAATCCTAAATACTACATAAACACAATAAAAGACAATAGCATATTCACACATGACTTATGTACATGTACACAGTGTACACATACACGTATACACAGACAACATACTGACACTGACGCCCTATTGCACAAACTCCATGGCCAACCTTTAAACTACACATTTCATTTGTTTGATGGGCTGCATCAACATTGGCAGGAATGAGAGATTGTAACTGTTTAGCCTGCTTTGAGGGACCCATACATTTACAGACTGTAATGTATGTAAAATAAACTGAAACACACCCCCTTTAGCTCTGAGGCTCACACTTGCCCGTGACCCTCAACACATCCTCATATAACAGCAGATAATGGTGGTCTTCCCCACAGCCCCCTGTTGTGCCCTCAACAATGGAGAAGTTGTCTAAAAGAGAAGGTTTATGGCGCTGTAAAAACCTTTTTATTTTATTTTACAAGCCTTTACCACTCACACACAGGCCCCCGAACACACTGACCCAACACACACACTGAGAGACAAAGAGACGTAACGAGGTCATCATCGGACTGCCCCACCTGTCTGTGCATCACTGGATGAGCCGTGAATGTCAAGAACCATTATTCAATAACATAAAGCTCAATTTATGTTCGGTTTTTAATTCAAATTGTTTTAATTATCTCTGCATAAGAAACCACTTAATGTTGGGATGCAGCAAAGGTGCTTTCCATTTTTTTAAATATTTGTTGGCATAAACCACAACAAATATTATATAGGGATATATAGTATACATAAAGGAAGAATTTCCTCCAAACATCATGAAATAGTTACAGAGTGAAAATAAATCTAAAAAAGGATAATCTTTGATGGTCCACTACAGATATAAACAATATCCAAAACTAAATGAAAATGCCTTAATTGATTCATACAAACAAACAATGGACCACTGAAACAAATTAATTTCATGCCCGATTTGTACTTAGTTTCCTGGAGGACCAGCTGTTTGAATTCATGTAATAAAAAAGTAGTCCCAACACATCAATCCTCGAGACTGAGTCAAATCAAGCTCTCCTCTAAACATCGTACATGAGAAAATAAAGTGAAATCCAACAAGCCACATGTCAAGAGAGTTTGATGGAAGGGCGTAGCCTGCTGGCGCTCTGGAAGAACAGATCAGATTATCTTTAAACTAAACTCAGATTAACACTGAACTATTGAGACAGCATTATACTCGAGGATTTAAAAAGTCAGTACCAGCCAATATATTTTATTTTCACTCAAATTGGGAGGGAAAACACTTCTCTCCATCCCCGTAGCTCCAAGAGCGTGAAATTGACCAAACGAGCCACAAAATGCACCTCAGAGGAGTGAAGATAACAAAAAGAGGCTCTCTATACTTCCGAGAAAAATAGTGAGAGAGCCAGTGGAGTGTGACCCCTCTCCATCCTGTCTGCGCAACTTCATCCAGACAAAGACCCCAAAGAGTTCCCCCTTATATTATCATGATATAATCACTGAACCTACCTGAGAGGAAGATTGCAATCCCGAGGAGAAGCATGTTCGCGGTATCCGGGACTCCGGGGGGGGGAGGGTCGGGGGTGTTGGACGGGACTTGGTGCGTCTCTTCTCCGCGGCACCGCTGTGCGCCCCGCAGACTGACCGCAGCCCGCCGCTACATTCACCGCTCCAACACTCTCCGTGCGTCCGCCTTTTGTTCTCTGCCTGCGGCGGAAAAGTCGCTCAAGTTTCAAATCCCCAGGAGGACGGAGGGAGAAGCCTCGGAGGGATGTGTCGGAGCAAAGAAAGCTCCAGAGAGAGGCTCGGTGTGTGTGCCAAAGCTCCGGATCACACCGCGCAGCGCCGCGTGCAGGACTCGGTCAGATAGAGGGGATGTGACGCGGCACCGGGCTGCTGCTCTGCCCGCGGACACTCATCACGACGCAGCTCCGCTGAGGGGGTCCCGGTACATTCTGAGAGCATGATGCTGACAGCAGAGCGGTTGGGGTTATTAACTGGAGATATCCCTCCTCCTCCTCCTCCTCCTCCTCCTCTTCAGATCATCATCTTCACCATCATCCCAATACGGGCAGTCAATAGGCATATACTGAGCTCGCTATAAGTGAATAAATACTAGATTTGAAGTAGATTTTTAATGTTTTTATTTAACTTTCCTTTATATGTTTTCATTCGATGCAATCCAAGTGGCTTTTTGACTGAAGAGGATGATGGCCACATGGGAAAAATATATTGAAATCAGAGCAAAAGTGACTTTTTTTAAATTCTGAGATTAAAGTCTGAATTCTGGCTTTCATGAATTAAAAGATTAAACAAATGTACTTTTGGTCAGATCTGAATACATGTTTTTACATGTGGACCTAATCCTCTTCCGTACTTTTCAAATTTGCAACAGCAAAACATGTTCCCTTTTATTTATAATAGATACTATTTATTTATTTGAAATTGTGGGTTTTTCCAACTCTTTTGCAGGATGTGTGTATAGTTAAAACACATGTAAATAAAATGTTGTTTTAAAAATAAAATCTTCTTCTTCTTCTTCTTCTTCTGTGTCACATTAAGCTTAATTCAGTTTAAACACTGCATTTCAACACAATCAAATAACTTCTTTGCATTTGTGTCTATGCAATCATAATAAGTGTCGATGTGTTTGTGGATCAAATGTGATTTACCTTATATCTAACAGATAGTTCCCCTTTGCAGTACATGCAGAAACATGATGTCCAAATGAATATCAAACACACACACTTATTAATATGAAGCCATTTTGATGGACAAGAATGCGATAAAACATTGCGTCTCTCATGCAATAATATCTGTCATGTTGCCTTAAGAGTTATTTTGTCTCTCTAAAGCAGTGGAGTACAAAATGTGGACATTTAGAGGGTCGCAGGGGCCCCACCCTTTAAACCGCTGTAGCATCACTTTCATTTCATCTGCATAAGACCACAACAGAATAACCAAAGAGCGACACGCACTGCCTGCAGTGTGAAAATATCTCCACATGAATCATCTCTTGTGAACTTTCTACACTTTCAACTCCAGACGACTGAGGAGCAACACGAGGCATTTCTGTATTTGTACCTGTATCTCAACTGAAATCTCCCACATCTTTACCAGCAACAGTGCACTCTGGATAAACTGTTTGTTCATTCCATTTTATACTTATTCAAATGGCATAACATTGATTTGGTTAAACTCTTTTTTCATTTGTTTTTGGGATCCTGGTTTATTCTCTGTACAGATACGATGGTAACTTCCCTGCAATGACAATATTCGAGGAAACTGCACCGGCTGCTATTTATAAAAGCGTTTTTAATTGTTACTTTCACACCACTTTTATGAAATGACTATACAAACAAGATACATAGGGTCAATAAGTCAGCTGGTGTGAGGAGCCAGGCCACCTGATACCCGAGAGCTAAACACAGTGCAATGAAGACACAACACAAGTACAGTAACTGAACAAACATGTTCCCAATGTGACAACACATGAGCAAGAAACGCAAGAAGATCCCAACAGAAAGTGTTTCCAGGGGACATTATGGTGTCTGAGGTTCACTGAAGGGTTCTCCTGCTGTAGTCCAACGCCATCAGTCCATATGGGAGATTATACTTTATACAATATAAAGTCAACATAAAAACATATTTGCACATATTACACAGCTATAAATATAGATAAACATTAGCAAATAAGAATCACACAATGATATTATTAAAGTAAGTAAGTGAGTATAATATTTTTCTATTACAGAGTTATATGGAGTAAACACATATATCTCAGTCTGTCGGAAGTAATCTCAGAAATCTCAGTCTGCGACGGATAGACTTTCTGCTGTCCTGATGTCAATGTTCCACTGTTTTGGAGCCATGATAGCAGACAGCTGTTTTTGTTGAGAGGTCCAAATCGTTGTTAGGGAGTAGCTAGCCGATTGGCCGAGACAGATGCAAGTATTTGACTTTATGAAGGATACTATACCAACTGCGATGAAGTAGGTTTCAATTGTTTAAAGTTCCTGCTCAACAGCAAACATATGGAGAATCCATTTTGGAGCAACAGTCTTGTGTGTATGTTTTAACTCCATTTCCAAGTTTGAGCACATTTGAATCCATGCATGTGTCTTTTTTTGTGCCTAATGCTTTCCAGTCATGTCAGTGCTGGGGGGGGGGGGTGGTGGTGAGTGGTTTGGTGCAGAGCGGTGCTGAGGGCCGTTAGGTGCACTGCTGGACTGGATGATTGCATACATGGAGACGAGAGGAGCTGGAGGAGACACTTTTATGGCTGACCAACCATAAATAGCAGTAACACAAAGTGCAAGTACACATGCATACATACAAGTACAACCCTGTCTCTAATAAACACTGTACCGTCGTGTGTGATTTAATTTGCTCACATGCTATTTCAATAATTGGTGATGGAAGAAGCGGCGATGGCAAACAGTTTTATGGATGAGCATCTGCAGACGTTGAGGGCCAGAATGCCTTTGTTCATGTAATAACAGCTTTTTCAGCTCCACTTACAAATCACAAATTGTAATCAGTGAGTCCCTTTTAATTATGACACGCACACCAGACGCACACGCACACGCACACGCGCACGCACACGCACACACACACACACACTCTTTTGCCCCCCAGAGGTCATTCAACCTCACGGCCTGTTTGGCAACAAGCTGCTCTGCTAATCAGTGGAGAGCCTCCTCTCTCCGGGGAGGGACATATGGTGAGCAGCGCTGTGACATCACAACAAAGCTTTGCAGTGGCACCTTGAATCTCTTTGTGACCACATCTGGCTCCACTACATATACAAGTACAAGTAAAAAAACAGTAGACATTAAGCACAGACAGGCCCCCGTATCCACGGAAGGGCTCTTTGGATCGATCTCATCGGTCACACAGCGTTTCAGACGCTTGGAGTAAGAAAAGTCGCAGCTTAGCCGTATGCTGCCGCTGGCTCTTCCTCAAAGAGGAGAGCGCGGCGTCACGGTGAGAAGGAGGGAAAGGCGCCGGTTTAGAGCACCCATGGCTCCCGCTGCTCCTTCTACCTCCTCGGCTGGTCCCGCGGAACCGGCTCAATACCGGTTTGCGCGATCCCGACAGGCCTCTGCTCCGGCTCCGCACTGACAGAGAGCTTCGGGATGGGGTGGGCCGTCCTCCCGGAAATGACGGGCTGTGGGAGGAAGCGTCCCGGCGGCGAGAGCTGTGTCCCTCACCACCCAAGACGCGAGGGCGAGTTCTTCCGCCTCCTCCCACTGTAAAGTCATGAAAAGTGATGTGTGTGTGACGAAGAGTAAGAGTAATTTCTCTCCACAATTCCACATTTCCCCATAATGTCTCGTTGAATTCGGCAAGATCTGTTTCATGCGATGTTAACTGGGCACCCATTATGAGACACGGTTGTAACTCCAGTAAAGGAGGCAGCCGGTGGGCGCGCGCATGAGAGTGTCATAAACCGCAGGAAGACGCTTACTTTCATGTCAAAATTGCTCCAAAGCACAGAAAATATTTGCGTTTTGCCTTCCAGGGGATAGCTTACGAGTACAACAGACTACCGTTCGGCTCCCCACGCACGTTCAGCAAACGTGTGACCACAGCGCTTCAGCCGCTTCGCGACAATGGCATGAGGGTTTTATTTTAACTCAACGACCTCATAGTCATGGCCAGGTCCAGGGAATGGGCAATGTTCCACACAGCCCAATTGATCCTACACCTAACCAAGTTGGGATTTGCAGTCAATTGGAAGAAGAGCAGTCCCATACCTCACCAGCAGGTGGAGTATCTGGGGATTTTGCTCAATGCAGCCCCCATCGAGAGCGAGGGGTACGCCCCCAATCGAGAGCTAGGTGTACGCCCCATTGAGAAGGAGGGCAGGCTACGTGCCACTCTGTCAGAGGACAGACAGACGTGGTGCGAGGAAGGGAGTCTTGAGCCTCTGTCCGGTACATTGGGCTCTATTCTATCCTGGCTATAGCTACTGGTGGACAAGGGGCTTGCTCATGCCACAGTCAAGGTGTATGCATCAGCCATCTCGTCCTGTCATGCGGGATTTGGCAGCAGACCACTCTTTAGCCAACCGCTTATGAAGCGTTTTTTGCAGGGGATCAGGAGACAGCGCCCAGTGGTGCATGTCTCCACCCTGCAATGGGAACTGCCATTGGTGCTTGAGGCTTTGGTTACAGAACCGTTGAGCCTCTGGAGCTCTCCTCCCTGTAGGCGCTATCATTGAGAGAGAGAGAAGCAAAAGGAAACAGCTTTGCTGCTTGCTTTGACTTCTGCCAAGAGAGTATGCAAACTGACCGCTCTATCGGTGCACCCGAGTTGCCTTCTGGTTCATGGTGACCGTAGCAGGGCGACACTCAGACCGAACCCCTCCTCTGTTCCCAAGAACCTAAGGAGTTCTTCCAGCTCGAGGGTTATACAGCTACATGGCTTTAGTCGTCCACCTATGCACGGCCCGTTCATAAGGTAAGTATCTCTTAGACATGTCTGGCTCCTTTTTCATTGTTGGTGCTTGCTGGGGCAACACAGGACTGGTGAACGGAGGAGGGCTGTGGGTCAGTAAGCTGTATCTGACCCCCTTGGACATAATGCACTTACGTTGACCCATGCTCCTTAGGGACCTGGGAAACGTGGTGCGCAGTAAGCCCCATACAGGAATGGAAGACTCTCCCCGCCTGCCTATGGGCACTAGGGTCCGTGCACACACTACACGAGGTAAGCGTGTGAGTGTGAAGCCGCCATTTTATTTGCTCGCATTAAAATTTCAGCGCAGCGCACCAACGAAGAGATTACTTTTGTGAAAGCAGCTATGGCAACACCAAATAAATCAGCGAAGCGGTGGAGTGATGATGATGTGTCGGCGCTTCTGGAGATTTACTCGGAGGACGGGATCCAGAAGCTTCTACTGAAGGCAGTTTCCGTTGTTCAGCAAAGTTAGCCGACCTGGGAACCGTC